TCACCCTGCCTGTCTTCAGCAAGTCTTGTTAGGTCTATTCAACCAAATAATTTTCCACCCACTTAAAAACTCAAGATCCCCAGAAGTACACTGCATTACGTTCCCGCTTTTCCTCTGTAGTACCAGGGGTTGAACCCAACCTCTCTTACGTACACAGGAACCCCACTGTAATAGTCCTGAATGGGCTGCCTTGACCTTTTCAGACATGCCAGAACAACTTTTCTTTATCTACACAGAGCTCCCCAAAGTGTCCCAGACCTATTTATCACTTTCAACCTGCACCGACAGTGTCACCCACACATAGGCTGGGGAAGAGGCAGTGGTCTCCCAGCAGGCAACAACAACCTGTCTTCAAAGCAAGAACAACTAGGCCACCAAGGTTAGGGATAGACATCCTCCTGCTCAGAGCCCACCATGGCCTGAATCACTCCCTGAAGCAGATTTATGGGGTCCTCTACGAGAAGACCCATGCCTGAAGCCAAGGCAGCTGTTCTCATCTTCTGAGGCTTTACACTCTTATGGTCCCAACTGTGTGTCTTTGGACTTGCTGCTGGCCTTGTCTGTCCCCAGTCACTACTATTCAGGGCACTCATTCCCCTCTGAGGGTGTCCTAGATTGAAGAGTTCTGAATTCCTCAAAGCCTCTTTTTCAGTGCTCTCTAGGCCCCGCAGCATACATGAGCACAGCTGCAAAACACAACAAAGGAAAACTGGGAAGAGCACCAGCAGTATCCTGGCTTCCCCAGGTCCTCTGCATGCAGAGCAGGTACATGAAGCTCTGCTACCTTGCCATGCAACAGCTGGAAGTGGATGGAGCTTATATCCTCCCAGGAGGTCATCAGCTACTTTAAAGAGAAGTGCCAGAGCTGGCAGTGCCCAAGAAAGGGGAGCCCGTCCCTCCAGCTGTCTAGCTGTGGATGTGGGTTCCAGGCCTTTTACCTGACTACACAAAGGAGCCAGGACAGAGCCCAGGAGAGGAAGATTCAGCCCCAGCCTGCCAAGGCCCACTGAGCTCTTATTACCAGGTCACCTGCCTCCTAGAGAAAACCACAGTCCCACCTAGCCCCACCTGGTCCCATCAGACCTCACCAGGCCCAAGGGTGGCAGAAGTGGGGTTCCCGGAAGCAGCTATGACAAGTGCTTTGCTGAGAGCCATCAGACAGATGGCCCAACTCAGGGCCCTCGGAATTTGCTTCTCAAACCTGAACTATGTTCTCACGCTACAGCAACCCTGGGACAGGAAGCACAGACTTGAGGCTGCTCATTTCACAGATGAGAAAATGTGACCCTTTTGTCTAGGTCATTCAGCTAGAAAACAGACATAAGTCATTGAGTGGTATCACACCCACCTGTTGTCCCATATATGTGTGAGGTAGAGGTAGGAGGATTGCATGAGCCTAGCCTGGACAACATAACAAGACCCAGTCTCAAAAAAAAAAAAAAAACTAGAAACAATTAGAAAGCTGCCCCACTGTGTGCCCTGAAAGCTGGACAGTGTTACCCCACATTCACAATGAAAGGACAAGGCACCAAATACAAATACTGCCCACTGGCCAGGTCCTGTGCCAAACCAGGGCAGCCACTTCTATCTGAACGAAAATCACTGGCTCACTGGCTGTGAGGGAGGAAATAGATGGAAATGGAGTAAGAAACCTTACTTGGGTTCACAGTCAGAGAAGATACCGCCTTAAGGAAAGAGAAAGCAACAATGCCTCTGGTCTCCATAGCACCCTGGGGGAACCAATGTCCAGCCAAGCATGGGAACTGCTAGACACCACCATGCCCTCTCTCTCCATTCATAGGCAAGAACCAGGGAGCTTGGAAGGAAGAAATACTGTATGCCTAAGGACAGAGTTAACCATGTAGCAAAAGAACCTGTGGTCTCCCCACCTCCACTTGTGTCTCCTAGCCCTGATGAATATCAAGAGGAACCAAGCAGCTGATAGATATTTAAAAGCAAGACCCAGAAAGTGGCGGCCTGAGGAGATAAATGCAGTTGGCAAATTTCTCCTCCTGTACACTGCAGGCCCACACTCAGTCCTGTTCCAGTGGAATCACCCCAGTCACCCCATACATCACCTAGGCATGCAAGCTCAGTCTGATTCCACAGAGGAAATACGGAATGCATGGCCAGGAGGATATCCTACCAGCTCGTGCTTCTAGGATAGGTGAGTTCACTACCAGCCACGGGTAGAGACAGGGAGTACAAGATGTTCCAGCATCGGAAGCCCAGGTGGCAAGTGGAGAAAGAACCTGCTTGCTTCCCCATGGGCACTAACGTTTCAATGGCCACAAGGACCCAGTCGTAGAAAACAGGGGTCAGCACAGCATCTGGCACTAGGCTTGGAGCTGAGCATGTGCTAGGTAAGAAATCTTTACCTAGCACACATCACTAGTTGTTGAGGCTTACAAATGAATGCATAAATCAACAAAACAAGAGCCAGACTACAAGCTCAGTACCAGAGGCCAGAAGAGCAGGCTACCTCTGCAAACCCCTTCTAACTATGCCCAAATGCATTCTGCTCACCACACCTCTGCCTTCCAAAGTGCTACCTCACTCCCTCTAACCTCATGTTTCTCTGATTAACCCTTGTTCTGTGTTCCTAGTGATACAGAAACACACACTGACACCAGGACCAGAACTGGGGAAGAAGCTGCAGAGGGGAACACAGCAGCTGACAAGAGTTGGGCACTGGTGTGATTCACCAAATGCTTTTGGACCTCCCCACACACACCTCACAGACATATGGTCATGTGACTTGTTTTGGCCAACACAATGCTACTGCCGGGCAGAAGCTGCTCTAAGCTAGGTAAGACTCATCTTGCTCTGTCCAAGTGGCCAGGAACGTTCCAGTGAGTCAATGTGGGTCCTACGGTAGAGACAACATAAAGCAGATATGCAGTGCAACTCATGGAGTCAAGCAGCAATACATTTTGGTTACTTTAAGCCTCTGAGACAACATCCAAATCTATTCCTTCCTCCCATTATCCACCTTAGATGACAGGAACTGTGTCATCAGTCTAGCAGAAGGGGTCAGGGGCACCACTGTGAGCCTAAGCAGAATTGACAGGGCACCAGCACTAAAAGGCCACACTCAGTAGCTCAGCTGTGGACCAGACTATTCAGTATATTAATCAATTTTAATCATCTCCAGAGGAAAATATCCTCTAAATTAGAAATAAGGAAATCTGGCTCACACTGAGACCTCAAACAAGTCACTCTGATCTTTCTGGGCCCCACATTTCCTCATCTGTAAAATGGCATGATTATCACCTACCACACTGTTGTTTCAAGGATTCAGCAAACTAAGTACAAATAAAACTAGGGTTGAGCTTGCTGTCTCACAAACACTAAGCTTTACTTAGTAAATTCACCATAACCATGCTCACCAGCTTTCTACCTATTTTAAGCTTGTCCATACTTCTCTGGATTCCTAGGCCTTAACAATGTTGTTTCACAGGCACTGCCAAAGCTGAAATTGAATAGGGTCAACCCCTGAGCACACACCAGCCTAGAGTGAAGCCTCAGGAGCAACCCCAAAACCCAAGGCTCCACACACGCAGGCCTCCTAGGCAAGTCACCACCTCAACTTGTAGGGCAGGCCTATCTTCTCCCACACAAGGCCTGAGCTTGCCCTCCTGCTCCCAAACATGGCAAAGGGAGGAGTTCTCGCCAGCACAGCTGCCCTGCCAGGAAGCTGGGATCTTCCGACCCCCCCTGGCCTTCTTCCTGGAGGCAGCCACAAGCCTCCCAGAGCACTGAACACTGCTTCTAAGCTGGACTCAAGCTCAGGTCAGGAAACGCTACAGGTCCAGCTGCTCAGAGAGTTCTGTAGCTGCTCAGAGAGTCCTGTAGCACCACCTACCCCCCCCCACCGACTCTCAACACTGCCGTGACATGAACTGAAGGTCACATTAGGTGGCCCAAGAAGCAAGGCACAAAAGTGTAGGGCCATACACAGCAAGAAAGTCTCCAGTTAGGGCAGTGTGCAGTGAGAGGAAGGGGAGAATCACCTAGTGGCCTAGTTTCCCAAGGCCCCCGATTCTCAGACAGCAGAAATCTTCAAAATGTCATACAAAGGTTGGGAACAGCTTAGGGAGAGGCCAGAGGACCTGTGGAGGACTCTGGGAACCGTTCTGAGGCTGCCAGGGCTCAGAAGTTTCACTCCACCAACGACAGGGTTGGCTGAATGTGGGGCCTCATGCTCACTTTCACAACTAAGGAAGGATGGCCCAAGGGCCCAGTGGACCCAACTTCAGCAAGGGGACAGGCTCCTTGGGAAGACTTAGCAGGTAGCTGAGCACTCCCGCCTGGAGCGCAGACCCTGCCGAGCCGCGCAGCAGGACGGACTCCTAGCCTGCGCCAGAGCTCCTGGGAACGTGCAGTGAGCAACACCAGTAGATACTTCTCAGCGGGCCGGCTTCAGTCCCGTGACACGCGCTCCGGTGGCCCAGGCATCAAAGTCGTGAGCACACACACACACACACACACACACACCCAGGCGCACACACGTTTCCTACCCTCTGCACCCATATCTCTCAGGGATGGGTCTGAACGACGCACCAAGGACAGACCCGATTCCCTGGCCACGCCACGTGACCAAGGTTCAGTCAGGTAAGGGTCACAGGAGAGGGGTCGCCACCTCCTCGACCTCGCGCCACCCCAAACCCGAACGGAAGAGTGAAGCGCACCCAAGCAGCGTGCGGCTGAGGGCCTCCCCGGCCCGCGCCACTCCCGCCCCGCCCCGGGCTCCGGGGCCCACTGCACGCCGGGGGGCGCGCGGGCAGGGCCGGTGGCGGGCGTAGCCCCGCCCGGCTCGGCTCCCGGGGTCCGTGCTAAGGCCTCCAACCCGGCAAGCGATCGGAGCGGACAAAGCTGGGGCCACCCTGACTCGACCCAGAAGGACCCCGAGCGGCGGCGCTAGCCCCGGAGGACGCCTGGGGGCGCCGACCTGAGACAATGAGGGGAGGCCCGCGCTTAGCGGGGCGCGCGGCACTCACCTCGCCGGGCGCGGCGGCAGCGGCAGCGGAGGCAACGGTGGCTACAGGAGTGGCGGCGGGACGGCCCGGTCGGCCGAGGAAGTTAAGGCAAGTTCGGGCACAGGGCGGGAGGGCTCGACTCCGGCCGTCCGGGCGCGGGGGCGGGGCGCGGAGGGCGGGGCCGGGGGCG